TACATGCAACTGGCAGAACGCCCCCACGTGCAGTTGAATCGTGTGTGAAAACATGAATTGAAATGGAGGCCATGACGGTAAAAGATTTTTCATAGAAGGCCAAAGAAATTTAAATTTATATTAAAAAGCTACCCTACCCTACCGTACCCTTCAAAATTTAGGTATCCTCGATAACTGGTAGATTTATATAGATTTTATTAATTGATGGATTTTAAAAGAATTGAATGGATTTCAAGTTTAAAAATACATATAACCAAATCTTTTGAAATTTCACCATATTTAATGAAATTTTTATGAAATTTGTGAAAATCTATTCAAATCCACGAAATTCATTAGAATTTATAATATTTTAAAATCCACCAAAATCTTAGTTGAGGACACTCCCGCTATTTTAATAATTTATAAAAGGTTGAACTATTCCTCTTAATAAGTTTAGATTTTAAAATAAAATCTCAAATGTTAATAGATGAATACCTATCGGAATTTAGCTCTTGTTTGGGCATAATAATATTTTGAAGAATGCATGGTTAAAAAATAAGAAATTTTTTAATTTTTTTAAATTTGCGTGTAATATTATTTTATTGAAAAATATGTGATAAAAAAAATAAGAAAGAGAAAAAAATATATTTTGGAGAATGGAGCGGGTTCAATTTCATAAATTTTGAAGGATGTGCATGAACAAAAAATTTTTATTGGAAATATTCATCTAATGAATTCCTTGGGAACTTCAATAGTAAATGGAATACATTGCAATGGGTACTCTTGGTTTGGGTAATACACACTCGTTGGCATCTAACTTTATTTGAAAGAGAATCCAATACTTTCTTATCGTGAATTAATTGAACTAGTTTTTCAGTATTCAAGAATTCTTGTTTGGAACGTTTCCTCCCTCCAATATTTGATAAATATATTCTCCACAAAAAAATATATTCATTTTAAATTTATGCGGTCCAAAAAAATATATTTTGGAGAATGGAGCGGTTCAAATTTTTTGTTCATGCACATCCTTAGCGTCGGTTTGTTTTGGATTAAAATTCAATTAAAATCTAAAGTTAAAGTCAACAATTAATTTTAATCACACATTTAATGGGATCCACAACTTTTCAACTATAAATTTCATCAAATTTTATCAAAATCTTCTCATGAAAATGACACGATAAAAATGTGTGTAATCTGGTAAGGGTCTGTACTTGTAGCAGGGTTCATGATAAAAATGACACGATATTATGAAAAGTATTCTAATTTTGATACAAAAATTATTCTATAAATAGGAGATAATCATTAAGATCTTTTCATGATATATGAATGAAAATCTATAAATAGGAGATAATCTTAATATATTATCATTCTAACTCCCTTTTTCTTTTATATTAAATAATCGATTTTGACCTTTTCAACAGCGACATATATACTTCAATTTGCTATTGGGCGGCTGATTTTATATCAAAATTTGAATGAATCCAAGGAAAATCCCAGAAATTGAAAATCAAACCAATAAAAATTTTAATGAATCTAGCTTACACATTAATGGGTACCAATCAGATTATTAGTAAAAGAAAATAAAAAGATCAAAAATCCAATTCTTTCAATCAAGATTAAGAACATCATAACAAATGAACAGAGCTGAATTAAATCCACATCAAAAACTTAAAAGGGCTTTCAAAAATTGAAATAAAAAAGAAAATTACGAGCTACATCGTTCTTCCTCATCTTCGTCACCGTCGACCTGTGCTTCCGGATGAAAGAACTTTGACAACCCTCGATTCTTCCGTCGCTTACCACCGTACCACCGCTGCCTCCATACTCTTCATCATCACCTTTCAATCACCGGTTTGAAGATCTAAGGAGCTTTTGAGAGTAAGGATCTTTGTTCAATCGCGAGAGAAAGAGAGCAAGGGAAATCTGTGAATAAAGCCTTCCGTTTGTGAATTAGTGTAGAGTAGAGAGAAGGGTAAAATGGGGGATCGAAAATACGTCCGGGATGAACAGTACTTAGCAGATTCACTCTTTTGATAGAGTAGGGATAATAGTACATATGAAACCCTAAAGTAAAAAGTTTAAAAAAATTTAAACATCAGTTTAACTAAGGAGAAAAAATGAGCTATTCAATTTCAAATATTACTGATGAGGTAACATGAATACTCTTCTATTAAACCAGAATAAATATAGAGAAGCTAACCAAATGAGCACATCCTTTAATCAAAAGATTTAACAGATGGTAATATATTAAAAAAAGAACTTTGTATACTAAGGCGAATTCATTACTCACGATTTAAAGCTAAATTAGGATAAGTGACCGGAGTTGGCTTGTCTTGATCTCTATAAACTATAACGGACAAAGAACCACAACTAGTTCGTAAAGAATGTTCCTGAGTGAAGAATGTTGGAGTTAGAGATTATAGACAATAGTTTACAATCATTTGTAAAATCATATTTTCGAATATTTAACAATTCGAAATAAAGATAAAAAGTGTTATTTTACCCATAAGTCCTCCTGCCCAGGGATACTCATTTGTTTTGTGTGAACATGCTTAAAGTAAAGGAAAACTCTCATTCTATACTTAAAACTAAAAAAACAAATAATAATTACGACTTCCAACAAATGGAAAATTAACAGAATCAAAATAAACATTTGTATGATTGAGAATTGTATAGAGAATTTTAAAATTTCCACCACATATTAAGGCGGTGGGATGCCTATAAAAACCCACCTAGGCCATTTGTAATGCACATACATAAACACATAGAAAAAGTACTATAGTGCTCTATTGTGCTCCTTTGTACACTTAACTTGTACATACAATTTGTACATAATAACAGCCTCTCTTTGAGCATTCTAAAACTCTTGTGCATTGTGAGAAAGTGTGCCTATCTAAGCTTCCATTTCTTGGGAAGGCTGACTTAGTTGGATTTTGGGGAAACCAATCGACTAAGTGCCGGACAAGCTAACGTTCTTGTACCGTGACACACCGCCAGCGTCTTCAAAGCAAAATGTTGAAACTTCAATCTCTCTTCTTCTTCTTCTTCCTCTTCGTCCCTCAGTTTTTCAATGCTGAGGTGGCCACCGCCAGCGTCTACAACCCGCCATATACACGTAAGTACTTTTTCGCGTAGTCTGTCTGTCTAGCTAGTAATTATGCAGCCACCCTGTGTTATATATTTAGAGCTTGTTTGAGAGAGATTTTTGGGGGAAGAATTGATTTTGAATAGTGATATGATGGGAAATGTGTGGCTGAAAAAGAAGAAAAAATTATTGATGTGATGGAAAATATTATTTTATTGAAAAATGTGTGGTTGAAAATGAGAATTGATTTACTGTAGAAAAATTTAATTCTTCCCAAACAGGGCCTTAATACCGTGTAAATATGCAGCTACTCTGTGTTATGGAGACAACGCCTGGAAGTTTCCCACGAACGACCTGTTCGCAGCCGCCGGAGAGGGACTATGGGATAACGGCGCAGCCTGCGGACGACAGTACTTGGTGAAATGTATCGGTGCCGCCGTTCCCAATACTTGCATTCTGGGCCAGACGATTCAAGTCACCATAGTTGATCGAGCCCAAACTTCTGTTTCTCGGCCAGCACGGGGAGGAGTGGCCATAGTTTTATCAACGATCGCTTTTGGGAACATCGCAAACACGCCTGCAACCTTCATGATCATTGACATTCAACCGTGAGTATTTAGATACAAGCAGATATATCTATTCATTGCCTACTAAAATCTTTTTTCTCGAATTATTAATTAAAAAATTATTTTAATAAAGAGATAGCAGCACCTGGAGGTGAAGAGCGAGAATTGGGGTGACGGACGTTTCCAATTTATTGATATAAAAATTTTACTCTTTTTTTTTTCCGTATCATGTGCAATATTAACGAATTAAATCTTATATTTACTAAATGGGTTAGATGAATTTATTTCATTATTATTTGTTTGCTAATACAACTTTCAATGTTTTTAATATTGTAAATTACCAAATTTTGTTGATTACAAACTGATTTTTAATAGTTTTTGTATTTTGCAGGGTCTGAGGCGAGTATTGAAATAAATTCCCAGATTGTTATTAAATAATTGATCTCTCTATTTGTAATATTTAAAATATATCAAAAATGATTATTCGATTTGGTTGTTTTGTTTTGATTACGTAATAAAAATTGTATTTTCTATTTAAATATGATAGTTACCGTCAAGTATTCAACATACGATGATGTGGGTCCCGAGCTAGAACCTGATTAAGAAATTATTCGAATTTTTTCCTGGCCTTGCCATTTGTGTATCTGTAGAGCTGTGAATGTAGTACAGTTTCTAAAACAAAATGGATGTTCTAGAGTCAAATTAGACTGGACGGACAATTGAATTTTTTTGTTTTGACTTTCCTTATCCATCGACCGTTGATTTGTGAGGTTTTTTCTTCATTTGTGAAGTCGTGTGGGGACCAAAGAGGGCTATACGCACATTTATCTCATGCTACAATTGTTGACTGAGGGAGTGATGAAAGTGATGGATTGTGGGCTGCCGGCGCTGAGGCAGTAGCTTGGGTTTCGGGATTTACAGGGGTAGGATTTCGGGATCGACGGAGGTCGCGGCGGCGGCGGGTGTTTGTTGCACGCAATATCCATGTAGATATAGTATATAGAGTTCCACAGCTGCTGTCTCCCCCTTGAAGAAATCGGCTAAAGAAACCGTAAAGCTTGGAAGTGCTGAAAGCAGAAAAGGGTTCTTAATTATAGTGAAGATTCATACAAATTTTGTGGGTTTAATTTCTTCTGTTAATTTTTGCAACAAGTTAATGGTTTTCCTTCTTGATATCTAGAGAGAGAGATAGAGATCAAAGAAGATGAGTTGGAAAAGGTTGATTCTTCAGCTTGCAAAGAACCTTTTTTTTCCCTCCCTGTTTTTAACTTTTACCTTCCATCTTACTATGGGCATTTGATTTATCGTAGGAAATGGAAGCATCGATAGCGGACAAAATGGAACCATTGTGACTTCTATTGGTGGTAAAAATGGTCAACCTAATCAGGTAAAATTTCTAAATACTAACTTTTATAGAAAAAAATTTCCTCACTGTGAAGTCAAAAAATTCCTTAGTGCATTTCAGCTCGTTTCTACTAAAGAATACAGTATAGAAGTTGACATACCTAGCAATTCTTTTTGGGCTGGTAATCACAGTAAGCGGACAACTGGCTTTGACATGGCTCCAAAATATACTGCTCCATTGCTTCGAGGCTCAGGTTTCACCTTTAGTCCTCAGCTATATGCCTAGCTAACAATTTGTTTTATCACATATGTGGTACAACATTTAGCATTAATTATGTTCTGATTTGTGCTTCTGTATCTTGTGAATTGTCGCCGGAGATCTCTGTTAGTGTCTCGTTCTGTATATATCTCTTTATGTACATCATCTATGTATTAATGCGAACTATATTCACATGTATGTGTTGCTATTGCTCTGTACTTGTTTCATAGTGAAGACTTCTTCAACTTTGTAGTGGCTGCTACTGTGAATATATGGCGAATTTTATTTGAAAGTGTTGTTTATTCTTTAAAATTTCATTCCATGTGTTTGGAGGGAAGGTTGTTGCTGTCAATTTCCAAAGACAACAATCTTTTTAGTTGAATCTGAGAGTATTTTCCTCTTTTTCCTATGTTATTTTTGAAATGCCTGTTCAATTGATCTTAACGTGATGTTAAATTAAAGTTATAATCTTGGGGAGAAAATCTAAGCGAATGAAGTAGAACTAGCACTTTCCGTAGTTGTTTTGATAATAATTATGTTGGGGTGTATATCTATTGCACGCTACCAATTATCTGGTCTCAGACCAGTCTGTAATCTCTAATATTTCATCAGAAACTCGATAATTCTGTGTAGTTGTACAAAAACCGTGGACAAAGTTATTTAGTTTTATGTTTTGAAGTAATCGTTCATGTGGCAGGTGAATTACGTCAATTTGAGGCGATTATACTGTAAAGAAAGTAATTGGGTGGTGCCCAGATGAGAAGAACTGATGTTATTGGCAGTGAAAGGAGGAGGATTTTGTTGGGAATATTATATAGATTATTGTTGGTTGCCTGCAGTCAACTATCATCTAACGTGTAGCTCATTTTTCTTTTTTAATTAGAATTTCGTCTATCTTTGCTCAATCAGGCTATAATAAGTATGGCCAGCTTGGTAGAGGTATTACCAGTGAAGGCCTTCGGTGGGCTTGTGTAATTAATGGGTATGCTAGGTTCCTTGATGAAGCCCCAGAGCTTGTGAAGATTATCCAAGTGTCATGCGGAGAGGACCACTCAGCAGCCATGTCGGAGGAATGCGAGATGTAAGCATTCCAGAGGACCTTTTTTGGACGCAAGTCATTTTGTTGAGCATGAGAATAGTGATTATTGGCATGATGTGAGTTAAGTTATTATAGGTTGGATAGAATTTACGTTGGGAATTGGAATTTAGAATTCCACAACCTTGAGTTGCCTTCTTGTTGCATTAGAAGGAAAAAAGAAATATAGGAAAGTGTTGCATAAATGTGGATATATTTTGCCTGATTTTCTTTGAATTGTAGCACAATCGTATAGGTTACGAGTTAGATGCTCTTGAAACATGCTCTTCTCACGCAGCATTAAATATTATTGTAGATAGACATTGCCAAAGTGAATGTAAATCTTTGCATTTTTGCCTTGAAACATGCTCTTCTCACTACAGTCAGTTATCATCTCACGTGTTGTTCATTTTTCTTTTTCAAATTTCATATTCCAGGTTATTCGTCCAAGTTTCTTGTGGGGGTGTTCATGTGGTTGCTCTGTTAGAAGATGGCTTGCTACCAGCATGGGGTAACGTTTTCTAGATTCTTAAACACGATTACCTTGCTAAATATTCTTGATTGCTCTATACATCTGAGGTATACATCTTCTATGGTTTCTAGACGCTTGATTGCTACAAGCATGGTGCTACAAGCATGGGGTAATGATTTGTACGTGTATGCATAAATGCATGCTAGTGTTTTGTACCTTTCATCTTTGTCAATGTTAATTTCTGTATCTTACCAAAACTACAACTGTATGAATCAAAATGTAATTGTTCAACATTTGGGTGTTTTACATCTTATTAATTAGAATTTCGTCAATCTTCGCTAAATCAAGCTATAATTAGTATGGCAAGCTTGGTCTCTGTATTACCAGTGAAGGCCTTCAGTGGGCTCGTGTAATTAATGGGTATGCTAGGTTCCTTGATGAAGCCCCTGAGCTTGTGAAGATTATCCAAGTGTCATGCGGAGAGGACCACTCAGCAGCATGTTGGAGGAAGGCGAGGTGATAGTGTTCCAGAGGACCTTTTTTGAACGCAAGTCATTTTTTTGAGCATGAGAATAGTGATTATTGGCATGATGTGAGGGAAGTTATTATAAGTTGGATAGAATTTACATTGGGAATCGGGATTTATAATTCCACAACCTTGAGTTGCCTTGTTGCATTTGAAGAAAAAAAGTGATATAGTAAAGTGTTGCATAAATGTGGATATATCTAACCTGATTTTCTTTGAACTGTAGCACAATCGTATAGGTTACAAGTTGGATACTCTTGAAACGTGCCCTTCTCACGCAGCATTAAATATTATTGTAGATAGACATGGCCAAAGTGAATATAAATCTTTGGTTAAGAGTTTTTGCCTTGGGTAATCTCTCTTGATCTTTTGAAATGATTTTGTTTTAATTTATTTCACAGCTATACTTGGGGACTTGGAAGCATGGGCCAACTTAGGCATTGTTCACTTCAATCCAGTGACAAGGAACTGTTGCCTAGGCGTGTAGTTTCCCTTGACGGAGATGTTTATTAAGGTTGTTGCATGTGGCGGGTTGCACGTGACTAATAAAGGGGCCTTGTATGCTTGGGGTGGAGGCCATCCTGGGCAGCTAGGACTTGAACCCCAAACTGGAATTTTTTCTTGTACTCCAAACGAATCTGAAGTGATGCTTCACAATATACCTGTTTTGGTGATCCTGACTGGTGTGCGACTGGTTGCCTGTGGACATTGTCACACTCATTTCTACTAAAGATGGGAGAATTCATGGATGGGGTTACAATAGTTATGGTCAGGCTGCTAATGAGGAATCAACATATGCTTGATATCCTTCCCCAGTTGATTGGTATGATATGGAATCTCCATTTTTTCAAGCATTTTCTGAGCAAGTGAATGTTTGGCTAAACACTAAAAAAGTAAATGTAATTGAAGAAAAGTAAATAAAAACTCTAAAACGGATTTGGAATTTTTTTTTTTTTCCTTGAAAGTAATTTTTAAGCTTGTGAATA